CCAAAACCAACATTTCTTCTTCTTCTTCTTGGTCGGGTGCTGCAGCAAGCGGCGATGGAGGGGGATGAGGAGCGGAACGCGAGAGGAGGACAAGATGGTGTCGGAGATGAACAGCATGTCCTAATCCACAGCCAGGTCAGAAGGATCAAGCGAGAGGACGAGAAGATGGCGGATGGGCTCCAATCGGAGCCGATGGAGATGAGACCGGAGCTCACCAGGCAGTTCTCGAGGTCGCGGCTGGGACCCGCCGGCCGGCCGATCGCGGTAGGGAGCAAGTAGAGTCGACGATTCCGGAGAAAGCTGTGTGGAGTGGTGTCGTACACATCCTTTTGGATCGTCTGCCGTTTTGAGTGGTCTTGTAAATCTGTGTCGGAGCCTTCTTCCACCTTAGGACGGACGATCGACATGGTCGAGATTTAGGGTAGAATTCTTCCCATCTGTTAGAAGAACATAAATCGTTAGTTTCGTGTAATCAATCGATTGGTATTATTAGCTTTAAGCTTTGAGATGGAATGACAACCATCAATTAGAAGATCTTTCCTAATTCCCCATATAAAAAAAAAATCACATAAACTTATTCAAAAAAATCAATTATATAAACTAATACACATACGGATTAATATCTATCTTTTTAACAACAACAAAAAAACAGTATATAATTGACCAGTAAAAAGAGAAGTTAATCGTTCTATCGGTGGGAGTAAACTCCAAACTCATAACCTGACCAAAATAGAATTAACGTTTACATAAATTCCAAGGTTTTCAAGGAATCGGATTTACATCTTTTATCTGATTGGAAGCATCGAAATCGACCCAAAATATTCTTAATTCAGCATTCCATCCGAAGAGGACTTTCCACTTGATGAAAAGAATCAATTGTTTTTAGGATGGAAAGAATCAACAATGTCAAGCCAAAACAAAAAGGAAAGGTCAAAATTGGGAGAACAAGGACTAGGCATTTCCACTGTGCATAAAGTGGTGCCGTGTAAACATATCATTTGTAGTCAAATAGGGGCTTTTTCTTTTTTGTGGCTTGGCTTGGCTTGGTGAATGTAATTCTGAGGCTCATTCCCTTGACAATTATGCCAAGCAACCAAGTGTTTCATGGTTTTAGAGAGATGAATTATCTTTTTTCTTATAACAATCTAAATGTCTTTTGGGATCGTCGCCGTCTCATTAAGTCCAACATTTTCATTTTTCACCGTCGTCCCATTAAGTTTAATATTTTTATTTTTAGTAACTCTCACTTCATTATAATATAACAAACATTAATCGAACAATTAGAATTCTCTCTTATATTAATATGAGAATCATTATCGACTAGCATCGTAAGATCACCTAAAATTCTAGCTTACATGGAGTTGTCCTTGTTGAGACCGAAAAGAATTATCGTACCTCTAACCAACTCCTTAACTATGGATAAATCTTTAATACTTAAGCCAACACAGCGAAGATAGTTTTAAGGGCATATGAATTGATCTAAACTAATAAGTCTCATCTTCTTTTTGAACTCAGAATCTCCCTAAAGGAAACATCTAGACAGCTTAAAGTTGTTAATCACATACTCAGGACCTGATTAAAACCAAGATATGAAGAGACAAAGAGATAAGAATATAATTTACAACAAGAATCTTTCTACTAGTATCTCAATGTAGCTCATTGACTTAAGACCAACCCAACCACTTTGGAAGTGATGGAGGACACAGTGAATCAGAACAAGAGAGAGAGAGAGAGAGAGAGAGAGAGAGAGAGAGTCATACAAGTTATTCAAGAGGCTGATCCAATCCACAAGCCAAACCACACGCAATCAGTGTCACCTAAATCTAAAAATGAAGGCTCCAAATTATTCCCCAAAATAATGGCAAGAACAACTTTTATCCAATCTACAGTTAACTGATTTTGATCTCTGTACGTTAGTTACTATGTTTGGTGATGTCAATCTCCAATTGCTTAGTAATGTTGATTTGGCACAAATTGTAGCTTTCACGTATCACTTTATTAGATTTAAATTTATGTGTATTATTAAAGTATTTGCATGCAATATTTACTAAATTCATATATGTCAAGATTCATTCATTTTTTTTTTATCAAAAGAGAAATAGAATCTATTGTCTTAAACTTGAGGAACAAACTGAGCTGCTAATGGATCTGTAGCAGCAAACCAAAAATTGGAGATCTGAGATCTCCCAAAATTTGTCAGATTATGGCTTACAAAATTGTTGGATCAAAAAAAGAAAATATATCCGAAAATAGATTCCACATATACCAGGGAATAGGAGTCAGAATAGATTCTCTTTGGACATTGTTGGATCAGGGAAGCTTCCTTCCACCATGAGTGAGAAGGAAGCCTTGCAGCAGCTGCCACCCATCCAAAGAGACTTTCGATCAGCAGTTAAGAGGTGGAATCCAGTAGCTGCAGGAAGAGAAGGGGAGATGAATGATCCATCAACTTGAAGAATAACCTGGGAGTCCTCAAGAGAACAAGGAATACCACTTAGTTCCCTGACAGTGTCCTCGAGGAAAAATTAATGAAGTCATTACCAGCCATATTCTTTGCTGGGATGGATGGCCTGGTTGAATGCTTATTGTGTTTAGCATCATTTCAATTGGTCCATAGAAATTAGAAGCAAGTGGCAATGGTGCTGAGCAATGGTCCATAGAAATCTACCTTGTCACAATTAAGGATAAGAAGCAAATACTCGACACAAATTAATTTTTTAATAGTAAAAATATCTTTAATACTCAGGCCACCCCTATCTTTGAGAAGGATCATATTATCTCAATCGAGAAGGTGAAACCTTTTGTGATCAAGCGAGTCCCTTAGAAAAAAATCATAAGAACTAAGAAGAATATGAGTAGATAAAAAGTTGAAAATAAAGTTGATCAGGACTATCTTACTAGCTTAAGAGAGAAAGCCTTTGTGTCAATCTTAGATCTAGCTTTCTCCACAAGATTATTTTGGGCCAAGGCTTTCCATTATATTTAAATAATAAAAGAAGGTACCAAAGTATTTGAATCATCATATCGAAGTACAAATTGAATATTTAATGGAGGCCTCACATTGCTTAAGAAAGCAAATATTGGATTTGAATAGGTCAATTGTGACATTGGAGGGAAGATGTATAAAATTTTAATGATATTGGAGCAATATTTGGGGTTGGGTTAGAAAGAAAAGGGGTATGTCATCGATAAACTTTATGATTTTTTATCGATCACTAATAAGATATATTTTGGGTCCAGACCACATCACAATCGATGTCACGCCATGCTACAGCCAAGTCAGCAAGAGAAGTACGCTCACGTGCCGAGCCAGAGATCGTACCAAGACGTTGCTCGGTATGTCTAGTCCCGGTAAGTCCGGGACGACGCCGCATGGTGTCGTTTAGCACGTCCTGGGACGACGGCCGCACAAAAGTACCATCTCACCTCTCGAGGATCGGTCGCAATGCCAAACCCACATATGACCAACCCTCGTGCAGTAGTATAAAACCCCTAGTCGACATCCGGTCCAAGGGAAAAAACAGGGAAAAAGAGAGAGAGAGAGATCAACCCACCACTGACTTACTCATCGGAGGGGCCACATTCGGTAAACACTCGACGGTGGCCATTTATGTAGGAAAGCGGATCTCCCTAAGGCGAGACCATCCCGATCGAGAGAGGCATTTTCAACATTCCGACGCCAGCATCTCGTCCAGAGGGCATGACCGACCTCGTCAACCAGCCCACCCGATCGAAGACCCCCGACATCGACATGTGAACTAGGCTGTGCTGACTATCGGTGCATTAGTTTATCAACAATCACAATAGCAAAAATAAGAGAAAAGAGCACCTACTGAGCAATAATAAAAAAATAAAATAAGGGGAGGAGATGGGTCACCCTTCCTATTTGCTACTTTTCTGCATATCAAATATGCTGCAATCTTCATAGACCGAGTTTAATTCTTGTCACGATCATTAACTATATATATGTGTGGTAGACAACACCACGCAAAGGAAGTGTATATATATATAGTTCATTACATTCCAAGGGAAGTAGTGGAATTGCCTCTTGGTAGTGGAGTAGAGTAGAAGGCCGCTGTTGGTGGTGGGGAGGTATTCGATGTGTACATGTATACGGGTACGATCTTTATTCCCAAGTCAAAGATCTTTGTTCTTACACGAGACAGCGAGTGCTCTGCGGTGGACGGATATGATCTTTAATCTGGAAGTCAAGATCTTTGTTGTTGCCTAAGAGAGCGAGTGCTCTCCGAATCCACCGCTCGGCGTTTTGTCTCTCCTCCCCCCCCAGACGCTCTGCACATGCACTGCTCTCCCATGGCTTCCAACACGCGTCCATGGCATCTCTTAGACTCTTCCTCCTCCATGGCAGAAGACGACGTGAGCTTCACTTGCGTGATGCAGCACACAAACCTTTTTTAACTTTTCCCACCCTCCATGACTCTATGCTTTTTTTTTTTCTTTCAGTATAATATATATGTATATATTATATTACATCGACATGATGCACACTAGACGTGTGGTCCTGACATATATATACACCCTGAAATATACAATGTCTGGAAAAGATTATTCTTATCTATTTATTACCTGATCTCAAAAGCAGGAAATACAAAGAGTACACAGCCTTTGGAATTCGTATGGTATTCATACAGCTGCAAGGTTTGTTGTTATTATTGTGTAATCCTCCTCATGTCAGGTGGGGAACATCTTTCTCGGACAGCACTACTTCACATCAATGATCACTCGTGGCCTTAGCGCAATCTTAATTTAAGAACCATATTGAGTGCCGACCTTTTCTCTTCTTCCTGCTATTCTTGCTCAAGAACATGGGGTATTGGTCTCTCGGCTTCTTTGATCTTTCCACCCTTGCAAACCAAGCAGGAGTAGATGAGGTGGCACCATCCTACGACTGAGTTCCCACGTGCGATCAGGTAACCGCAGTTCCAGACACGTGTACACGGCACTCGGGTAGTGAGAGCTATAAAGCGACTGGTGAAGGCGGCCTGGACATACCTTGTTCTCGCCCGCCTCCGCGCCTTCTTGTTCCTCTCATTCGAGTAGTTGTGGCGTGAGAGGGGAGCCACAGGGAGAAGCAATGGGGAGGCAGCCATGCTGTGATAAGGTGGGGCTGAAGAAGGGGCCATGGACAGCAGAGGAGGACAAGCGGCTGATCAACTTCATCCTCACCAATGGCCAATGCTGCTGGAGGGCTGTGCCTAAGCTTGCAGGTCCTCCTCCCACTTTACATGCCACTACAACACTGATGGTGTCTAATCTAGATTTAAGATCGTGTTGTTGCGACAGGACTTCTGAGGTGCGGAAAGAGTTGCAGGCTAAGATGGACAAACTACCTCAGGCCTGACCTGAAGAGGGGATTGCTGTCGGAAGCCGAGGAGAAGATGGTCATTGAGCTCCATTCTAAGCTGGGAAACAGGTGCCCATCTTCCCTGTTCTCTCCTTCCTTCTTTCCCTTTGTCATCTTGTGGATTCGACCGATGCAGGCCCTTTGTTGGTTTCCTCAGGTGGTCTAAGATCGCATCCCATCTCCCTGGTAGAACGGATAATGAGATCAAGAACCACTGGAACACCCACATCAAGAAGAAACTAAGGCGGATGGGGATCGACCCCCTCACCCACGAGCCCCTCATCCCTTCAGCTAATGATCTCCTCCACCAGGAGCAGCATCAAGTGGGTGCCTCGGCTGACAGGAGGGAGGGAAACGACAAGGTATCAGAAGAGCAAGGTGAAGAAGAGAACATCACAAGCGCAGTTGACGATGCCTTTTGTACTGATGAGGTGCCCATGATCCAGCCCCATGAGATGATCGTCCCATGTGCTTCCACCCCCTCTGCCTCATTTTCCATTTCTTCTTCATCATCATCATCATCATCATCATCATCATCATCATGCTCTTCTTCCTGCTCCTCGGTGAAGGCTCAGGAGATCCAGCCGCCGTGCATGGAGTGGCCGGAATCAGTGTGTCTTTGGGGTTTGGATGAACTGAACGGATGGGACTTCAACTATGCTCAAGGGGATGAACAATTAGGCCTTGATCTTTTCACCCAGTGGCAAAGAACTGCTCTGGATCAAGAAACCTGGAAATTTGAGCTTTTCTGATCTCAGGCTCCTTGGTTCTGTAATTTGTGCTTGCAGATAGAATAAAGAGGAAACAGAATGTGATACCAAACTCATTTTTCCTCCTCTTTTTTTTTCGTCTTTCTTTCTTTTTCCTGTTTGGTTTTCCTCTGTACAGGTTCTAAAGAACATGTAGAGATGAGCTTCTAGTTGAGGCTTCTCTCAGCTCAATGCCAAATGTTTAGACACGACTATAAGTTTTGCTGATTGATGTTGTGGAAATGACTCGTTTGATGAAGATGAGTAAGCAAAGTTCATCGATTGCTTATTACTTCCTTGTAGATTACCCCATATATTTGACAGATGTTGGTGCCACTTGCATCAATGATAGGGTCAATCAATAAAAATAAAATAAGATGTGAAAAGGACCCGATACTTTTGACCTTTGCTTTATGTTTCATCATCATTCTATCAACCTTCTACCATCCAACATCAGGTGGAAGAGAGGAGAGGAGAGAAGTAGCCAAGTATTATGAAGGCCACTCTCTGCCTCTACTTCTCTTCCACATGAGTTTGACATTCACAAGAAAGGTCAATATCATCGATGACAACATCACTCAACTACAACAAAACCAAAGCCTCAGAGTTGACTTGAGAAGATTCAGCATATTTCTGGATTCATCTTACCTTTGGACATTTGAGACCATGCATTGGGAGTTCAAGCATTCATTGCGGATGTTTCCATGTGTTCCTTCCAGCCTTGCACCATATGCAGGGCACATGAATTCTAGCTAAACTACAAGCTGTGTGTTCCCCTTCTTACGCATCCGTTCGCTGACCACTCTTAAATGCATCAACTCAAGTGATGCTTCGTACCCTTTTTTTTTATCTGTTCCACCTACATTGCACCAAAGATATTTAATTTACCTATGTAATCAGACATTTCTTTTAATGCAATCAGGCATATTACCCTCAAACTAGCCCAGCTAGAACGACAATGTGATGAATGAAAACTAAACTTAGCCACCTCATACACAAACATGATAGACTTGTAATGATATAAAAGCAAGTACAACGAATAGAAGGTGACTCTATTAAGATGTTCCGATTGATTAGTGTATTATTATACAAATGATAAGTCTTATGCTTGAGTTCATAGTCTAATATATTGTGTCCTTTTCCTTCTTGTCATTATATATATATATAAAATTGATTTCTGTGAGCGAGTTATTATTCATATGTTTCTACTACAAATCTTCCTATCATTATGAGAGCTCTACAAATCACTTGGACACAATAAATCCACTTTCTTCTTGCAGCACTTAATATGGTTTGAAATGTAATGTTGGCCGCAATGCAAATTCTGACTTCATATTCGCTGCCACACCAAACAAAACGAGCAGAGGAACAAAACGAGGAAAGCATTGACTTGACATGCCGCTAAAATCCAATGGACTGCAGGAAGTCGACGTCAAAATGGATAGCTGACATTTTGCTTCAGAGCGTTGCGTCTACAAGTTTTGACTCTCCAACTCCAAGCTATGTATCGATCAGCTTCTATCCCATTGCTTTGATACAACCGTGAGTTGGCATATATCTACCAGAGACTGGCCATCCTTAATATTGAATCATTCACACCGTTTCAATCAACTGATCGTTGATGGTTATAAGTACTCTGAGGTTAAGACTCTTTCCACAAAATGGGATTCCTTTTCTGTGTACAATGTAACTCACTTATATTCTCCTATATATTTTCTTGCAGTGTGTTTGCCGTGGATTCTCCACTGACAAATTTGACATCTGATATGCTCTCTTACCAAGAAGACATGTCGTCACAAACAGCTGTATTCAATTTGGAATCTGATATTGAAAGCTTTATCTTAGGTTTTAGGCCTCTAGACTTGGTGTCTCATCTTTTCTCGTTTCCTCGTTCCCATGGGGACAGCTCTATCTCGGAGTTCGCACTGAGACTCATGCTGCCACGACACGATTAGGACATCCATGCCCGAGTCGACGATGTTGAAGGATCCGAAGTGAAGATGTACACTCCCATGGATGATGGGTCGAACGTAGGTTTGGATCTCGGAGCTCCGAATTGAGTACCCGCAACACTGCTCGACGAAGGAAGCGTCGTCACACATGAATCACCCATGACGACACACGCACTCTTCGCCTACACAGAGCGGATCACCGGCGGGCCCGTCTTTCCACCACTCGGCCACGCGCGGCCACCCAACAGACGACGGCATGCATGCGTCGGACGAAGCCGCGTCCCACTTTTATCCCTCGGGCATGCCCTACCAACCCTAAAGCTCACCCAACACACACACACGCACACCCCGACATGCATGACAGCGTCTCCCACTCGATCATAATAATAGCTTCTCTTTTATCCCCCACGTACTCGCTGAGGAGAGAGCAGGCATGATGAGGCACCGGCGGATGAGAGAGAAGCTGCGCCGTGAAGGGTTTACGATGTGGAGGCATGGGAACTGAAAGCTTGCAGTGATGTACATGTGGATCAGACGTAGTGGGAGGTGGGCAGCGGGCGGTTCTCGGTCCCCTCACGGCCGGCATCCGAAGCTTAAAAGCCTTTGGGAACCCACCTCCAAAGAATGGAGTTAATGGGAGCCACACTGCACACCGACACAGTAGCAGCTTAATCGTTCTGGTTGTCGATTGCGGATGGATTCACATCCCTTCTTTATAGGCTTCGGTGGACTCCAGATCATGTGATCTCCATGAGCTTGCATTGCAGTACACAATGAAGCAGGAGTGCTGATTTGATTCGACTTATTTTTTTTTTTTGGAAATTTTAGGTACCTCGAGAATTGATTTATAGTAATTATTAGATAGTTCTAAGAATATGACCCATGATCTAGAAGTTATAGAGTAGTTTATATACCTAACTCAATCATGAGTGACATGATGGTATGAGATAGTTACCACTAGATCCTATAAATAAGATCATAATTCATGAAGCAAGATAAGGGATATATACTTCAAAATATCTTGTAAGTATTCTATGTATATCGTCTTGTTTAAATACTACATCGGTTTCCTTGATCGAAAAGATTTTTCTTGATCATAATTCATGAAGCAAGATAAGGGGTCTACACTTCAAAATATCTTGTAAGTATTCTATGTATATCCTCTAGTTTAAATACTACATCGGTTTCCTTGATCGAAAAGATTTTTTTTAATTATATCGTAGTATTCTGTTTTTATCGTTTCCTTGTTCTTCCATCCCTAACATCTCGAGCAATGCAAGATCGTCGTCCAAACGTAAATAATCGATATTTAAAATACTTGCGTGAAACGAAGGGAGATGAATATACAAGAAAACTGTTATGGGTTAGATTCACATAGAATCCAAATCCAAATCCAATAAGATCACGAATCCAAAATAAGGATCATACACCATTTATTGATCCAAGATTCATATGTTAACTGAGAAATAATAAATACACTCGAGAACACAAAGAAGAGGGTACTAAAGAACCCCAGTGGTACAACCTGATAGGTATCATCAAATGAGATTGAGAGACACCGGAAGGGAATTGGACTGAAATCACAAACATTACGAATGTATCAGTTAATAAAATATTGAAATTTATTTAATCTTTAGATAGCATACCAACGTTAAATTTCATGATCAAACAAGTCATGCAGTAAATCCAAATAAGCTCGTCGTGCTTTAGCAACTTGAAATAATAGAGAGAGCTGATTATTCCAGCAGAGAATCCTGGTGAAGAATAAGCAGTAAGCATGAAAACAGAAAAACAGAGAAAAATGTTATTTCGAGTGCAGAAGTAATATTTGATGAATGAACAGTCATTTTAGGTCACTACCGAATGAAACTTTCATGTTTGTCATCCACAATTGCTTCATGCACTAAAGTTTGAGAGTACAAGGGCTTAACAGAGATTACATGTTACAGCAACTGTGACGATTGAGCAACTTGATGAATACAGACTCTGCTGAGCAGGGCAAAAGGCAATGCTTGATGCTCAGAGAACTCGTCCCCATATATCGAATTAAAAAAGCATGATACAAGTAGGGCAAGATTGAATAAATCAATGGAATACAGTGTAAGAAGGTAACTACTCTGATCTTTGTAGAATAGCTCGTAATGGTATATTCATCTATAATTACTGTTGAAACAATGCCTCGAATACCTTGCAGCTGGAAAAAGGACTCAAGAGGACCAATGGTCAGGGACAGTAAGGAAGTAATTTGACATGGCTTTTCTGAATCTTTTCTTGTACTGCAATGGAGATATTACGGTTGGAGTTGCATGTTTCGAGCCACCAAGGATGCCAGAGGCTTTTACCCATGTTTCAAGTTGCTTGTCCCATGTATACTGCCGCATGAAGTCTATGATTCCTATCACTAGCTCTTTGTGTGTCTCATCGATGCCGACCAGCAACGAGTAGTCCATGACATAAATAGACTGCAAAATGTGGAGAGATAGGATTAAACAAAATAATAAAATAACTATGTTTTTGGGACTTCCAAGTATAGTGAACAAAAAATTTCACCCATCAGTGCATAACCATTGGTCTTTTTGGCCAAGAAACCAGAACTGCACGCATAACAGGGTTCAAGTTGAATGGTTATCTCACTGAAGATGATTGTCAAAGAATAAAACAGAAACTAGCATAAGCCTCTCCTCTAATTCAATGATGCTAGTTAATCTGAAATTTTTAGGAGTCAAAAGGGTTCTAAATCTCAGACCAATACCAGTGTTAACGATACCTGTGTGACAAGCAACATAACAACCTGTAATGCCCGGTGTCAACCAAAGAAATATAAAGAAATTAAATACCAATCAATACCAGATCATATGGTCTAATGCTGGTCCTTACGTACTGACCAGAATTTGAATCATTGGGAATCAGATTGTGTACGGTTTGGCAAGTCTTATCAGGCATGGTCTTTCTAGAAAGAAGATAAGTCAAAACAATTCACAAATGTTAATGATCTATCTCACATAAACAAAAGATTAAGAATACTGAACACCTATTTATCATCACAGTTATCATTGGCCAATATAATAAATCGGCTTACTTAAGTAATGTGTAACTTTTCCAGTTAATTGATTAAGAAAATAACATAAGAACAAAGCCTAAATATTAATTAGCTCTCAAATTAAAAACCTTTTCAAAGTCATGAGAGATGATTGGCTTTCTGCTGAAACTTCAACCTCCAAATAGAATTCTTTTCTTTATATGACTTTTCTATTAGT